ATCTTTTGGTATGAGAAAACAATACCCAAACATTGTATTTTGTTAAATATGAAAAAAAAGAGTTTTGTGATATTTTGATGATGAGCTACATGATTTTTATACTTAAATAGATCACATAATTGTCCCCTTTGTTGATTTTTTAATCAAATAAATGTAGGTGTTCCATTCCATAGAGAAACGGCAATTCTGTTAGCCCTCTTGGGTTTTGTTAAAGCCGTGATACTGTAGTTAGGACTAGGTCCACCACCAAGGAAAGCAAACTAAAGCAAGAAAGGAGGCACAGTGCGCGCTTTTTCAGGGTATCCAGAGCGAGTTTCGTCGACTTGAAGGTATTTATTTGTGTGTAGTTTTTTTTTTCTCTTCCAACCAAGAACTCTAATAAAAGTCTCAATTGTCAACAGGAACCTACACATCTCATCACATGCAAATTTTAGAGACCAATGTTGGTAAGCATTGTGGGGCGGTGGGCTGTGAGAGGCAGCTGGGCGCCTGGTCGAGTACAGGCCTCGAACCCTGGACCCTAATCGGATGGCAGGTGTTCCGGCTCTGCTCTTGGGCCCTGTTTCCTTTCATTTAGCTTCAGCCCTCCACAGCCCCTCCCACAGAGAGGTCTATGGCCATCAGTCAGAAGGAACAGTGCCTCAGGCTCTCCCACATGTAGATGAGGTATCTCCAACCTCTCAGACCAAGCCAGTAGGCGTTATCTCCTGCTGCCAGACCCTGACCCACCCCAAAAAAAGCTTTATTCGGAGAAGTAAAGGTGTGTGTGAGAATTATCCTGTTGTCCAAGAGTTTCTGTGGCAAGAGCTGTAACACTTGGGAAGGGATCTGCTCTCCCAAAGCACCTTCAGGACCCTCCCCTCCTTGCTAGCTAGTTCAGTGTCTCACCAACACAGCCCAGACCAGCTCAGCACAGAGTGACAGGTGCAGTACCTAGGAGTGACTGGGAGGCAGCAGCAGAGATGCTGTCTGAGGCAGCAGAGGCGACTCCCCCTCCCTGCTCGCACTCTATCCCTTTGGCCCAGACCCCTTCCCTCCCCTCCCCCCATCCCCCCACCCTCCCCCCACTCCCAGCCTGGCAGAGATCTTCGTGGGATGCCCTCTGGAACAGGGACCCACAAAGCATAATTAGCTTATAGTTTTATTTCAATGTAAGTGTGCCATCCATAGAGCACACTTATTTCAGCTTGTAGGCTTGAAATCTAGTTTGAATGACTGGTCCAGCAAAACATGCAGATGCATCATCACTAACAATAGCTGTGGTAACAAAATTGACTCAGTTTACACATGAGCTTACTTCTTTCAACTTATAGTATTTGCTTTACCTAAAGTCAAGAAGTGAACTCTTTCATATGCTATTTATAATGTATAAGTAAGGAATTTGCTTAACAAGTCAGTTAAAGGCTCTGCATAAATACACTACTTCTTATTTTTATATAGAGAATTTAAAAGCTTCGTGAGATAAAGGAAAACGATGTTATACTTTAACTTGTTTATTGCTCAAATGCATTTTACTCTTACATCAGTGACCTCAAGTTTCACCCTTGAATGGACCACAGCACTGAAAGCATTCCTTCTGGCTGTCATTAACTTTCTTATAACTTTTGTATTGGCAAATTGCTAAACACAGCCCATGAAATTGTAAAGGTGGCTGGATACTTGAACATAGCCATTTTGGGATCTAATAAAACCGCTTGACTGATTACCATGTCATAAAACTAATGGCAATTCTAGTCTTTTACAATGACTTAAATCTAAGGACAGTGAAGTTGAGTCTGAAATGGTAAGACTGACTTTAGAGCTAAACAGATATCACTAGCCAAGCCTTTTATTTATTTATTTATTTATTTATTTATTTATTTATTTATTTATTTTTGTATGAACCAGCCAATAGCAGCCTAGCTAGCCAGTGGCCTACCTATGACTTCAGCCTGTTTCCAGAGCCAAGACCAGAGCCTCACAATTTCTGATTCTCAATGAAAAATATGCTTATCTTTAAGTTCTTTAAAATCGTGCACAAGCTACATAAACTAGAAATTTTACACTGCATTTTAAAAAGTAAAAACACAAAGTTAGCATAAATCTGATAAAAAAATAAGTATAGCAAAATACTGAAGAAGATGTAACTATGTGCTTTGTGACTTGTTCATTCACTTTTGTATCCTGGGGAGAAATCTCTATAACTGGCTCAGATGGCTCGGGTCATTTCTCAAGTTATGAAGAAGATCTTGACTGGTTTTCATTCACTAAGATTTGCATAAGCTAGGCCTGCTGGTGCATGTCTTTCATCCCAGCACTCCAGAGGCAGAGGCGGGCAGATCTCTGTGAATTGGAAGCCAAGATGGTCTACAAAGGAAGTTCTAGGACACCCAAGGCTATAGAGAGAAACCTGCCTCATAAAAACAAAACAAACAAGCAAACAAAAAATAACAAAAAGATTGCCATATTATGTCTTCATTTGCTTGTTTACACTATTTAAAATAGTTACTGTGATACCTAAAACATTTTTTAAAGGATTTTAGTGCAAGGATTAAGAAACCTGCTCCTCAGTGTAGCTGTTACTGATCAACAATAACGTGGGGGTGACTTGGAACTTTTAAAAACTGCAGTCTAGCCAAGACTGAACCTTGATAGCAGAGCTTTTGGCCAATTCTGCAAAGAAGATTTTAGCGCCCCCTTCCCCAGGCCAGGTGAATTACCTGTTCTAACAAGGGTTTAAGTCATTTTTGTGCATGTTGAGGCCCTAATGCAACTATTTAAAGAGTTAGAAATGTCAAACCTGCCTCTTTTGTTTTTGTGGCTTTTTTTTTCCTCTCATGATTTGCTTCTCCTTACCCTAGGGGAAAAAAAACAAAAGAACATAAAAATACCAGTCTGGGGTTGGAACAGTAGCTCAGTGGACAGGCTCAGCCTGGCATGTGTCAGACCATTTATTTTATCCCAACACCACAAAAATAAACAAGCAACTGCATTCTCTGCTTTAACAGGCAAAGAGAGAAGCACTAAGAACCAAGTATATAAGAGATGAAAGGTAATCAATCCATCTCCTTCTGGAACCAGCGGCCAGATTGGTTGGCGGGGGTCTGTCTTTGGAATGTTCTTTAGCATTTAGCACATCTGACTCTTTGCTTTGCTAGGTCTTCCCTAGTCATTACTCAGTTCATTCTGGCTCCCTGAACTGAGATTGTGTAACTGCATTGAGGAACATAGGAGTTAATTATATAGTGTTGAATTTACGGAGGGCTAGCCACAAAATATCCCAAAGGGGACTGACTGTTCCAGGTCAGGACAAATGCAGCAAGAGTTTCTTGTTGGCCACAGGGCCTGGGAACCACTGTGAATAGCAGGCACTGCGGCCAAAAGGCAAAGTCAGACGCTAAGCCTCCCCTCTACATAGAAACCTGCCCCCGTCTGTGTGGTAATGAGCTCAGGTTCAGAGCTGAGACCTTCCTAGCTCCACCTCATCTGTGACTAGCCTCCAGAGCAGCTGTTACACTGCCTAACCTCTTTGCTGAAGACAGGAAAGACAACACACACCTTACAGGGATACTACAATCTATGTGAGAACAATACAAGCAAAAGGTACTCAGTACAGTATCTGAAAACAGTAAGTGCCCAAGGCCTTTATTGTGTATTTATTTGTACTTTTTTTTCATTTTCTTGTTCACATCAATGTTCCTTTTCATAGTGGAATGGATTGGTGTTTTTCCCTATCTTTGAGTATCACTTAGAACTTAACCTGAACTAATGAAAACTAACTGGGGATGAAGTATATTTACTGACTCCCTCTGGAATAAGAACTTCCACCTAACATAGTGGTGGTGGTGGTGGTAGGGGTGGGGGTGGAGGTGGTGGTGGTGGTGGTGGGGGTGGGGGTGGAGGTGGTGGTGCTGGTGGTGGTGGTGGTGACTGTGATGGTAAGGGATAGAATCCTCCAGGAGGTGGATCCTGACATGAAGGCCCCTGTATTATTACACAGGAGCCGAAGGCAGCAGATGATTCTGAAGCAGTAGATGCATGTGCTGAGATGACACCAGATGAATCAGCATTTACGTTAGTTGAAGTGTAGCCATTGGTAGCAATCTCTTAGATACCGTCACCCTCTTCCTGTGTATTCTGCAAAGTAGGAAGAAGAAAAGGAAAGGCTGTTTTATTAAAACTAGCTTAATAGACTTAAAAATATGCTCAATGTTTAACTTCCTTTCTAGGCACAGGAACTTGTCTTGACTAAGCATGGGGTTGGGAGTGGGGACTGTGAGAAAGTAGTATCAGATAATTTTAGATAGCCAAACCTGGGTTTGTGAGAATGGAGCTTCCTGAGGCAGTGGTATGGAATAGATTTTAATTATTCCAAAAAGAATTGGGCTTTTTAGGAAATAGAAGGAGTTTATATACAACCAGCCAGAGATGCTAAACCACTTGTTACAATGAACTATCCCTTGACAGTTTCCTTCTTGAGTGTCGGGAGGAAAATGCTATGTACTCCAGACTGGCCTTTAATTCACAGTCTTCTGCCTAGGCACCAATGCTAGAGTAACAGGGGTGTTTGCCACTGTGCCCTGTGGAAAGACAAGTTGGAAGTAGCTATGTAGGAAGTCGTACTGTTCCTTGTTCTCTGTCCCCTCTGGTCCCTGCTGACCTCCATGAGTTCTGAGCAGATTTAGAAACATGCCTGTGCTTGCAGGCCTGGGACAACAGGTGATAGACAGTCTGCAGCAACCACACTAGCATGGTGAAGGAAGGAGATGCCACCAGTTCTGGCTGCAGCATCAGGCTTGGAGCTGGAAGGTGGGTTCTAAGGTCAGTGTTTGAAGAAGTAAATAAGCCGCCTCTACGTGCTCCACAGTTGAAGGATTCCTGCCACGGTTGGTGAGCATCAAGGATGACGTGGACCCGGCTCAGTCTTCCATACAGGCAGCCCTTCAGACGTCAGTTCATCATTTCTGACCCCTCAGCCAAGCTGATTCTCAATCTCTCTCTCTCTCTGCTTCTCTTCACAGTGCTCATGTATCCCAAGTCAGCAATGTTTCAACAACTGGAGAGTAAGTTGTTTGTTTTTATATTTTACAACATTTTGTGCCTTTTCCCACTTATTAATATAAAAAAGCAATTCTAATGTTGTGTAGAATTGGAAGATTAAGATAATAAACAATCAGTGAGTTTTAAGGTGCTCATATCCAGAAAGTAGGTATGCGTGTGATTATACACAATCCCTCTTCCCCATTTAAAACTATTAACTAAATTCTTTGTTAGTCTCACTGTGTGTATTAGATTAGCCTTTGTTTACTATGTACTTCAGACTGGTCTTTAATTCACAGACTTCCTGCCTATGCCCCAATGCTAAGGTAACAGGTGTGTTTGCCACTATGCCTGGCACTATTAGCTTTTTGTTTATTTTAATAAAAAAACAATGTCAGGTCAGTTAATGTTTGCAGAGCTGACTCTGTTCCCTGGAGGCATCTTGTCATGGAAAAAATAAGTAAAGGCCAAAGCATTAACCATGACTTGTCTTCCCACTTTCTGGTTTATTGACTACCTACAATGTGCCACACGCAGTGTTACATGTGTGATGTTGAATGAGCCTTGGTTCCACCTTTGTGGATTTTTTTTGTTTTGGCAGTCCTTTTAATTTTGTTGTTATAGGATGTAAAAAAGAAAACAAACCCCTGGTAGCACCAAGTCTCCTCACAGCAGTGGTAGTTCTGGGTTACTGATATCTGACACATGCTTTCTCCCTGGAGGCTTCCAGGAACATGCAGGCTAAGCACAGCCCTGTTTTTTGCCCTGCCCTGTTCCGGGCTTTCTGCACTTGCTTGCCTCTCTGTCCACATTGTGCTTTCTTGTTTGGGTGCTTGACCTCCTGCTGCTGAGCTAGCCCTTGGCTGTGCCCTGCTCAGCCTGCACTTTCATGTTTTCATTCATTCCTTCTAGGAATCACTTCCTGGCTCACTATGAGACAGCACACTTCCACACTACTCCCTCCGTCCTGCCCTGTGGGAGTGCAAACTCTGAGAATGCAGCATCTTTTCTGCCATGTTTATGGTTATCTCCCTCGTGCCATGAATCATGTATTAAGCACTATCTGGATATTCTTCACTTTGATAGATAAATCTCCCCGACAGTTTTCTTCTTCCCTGGGCAATAATCCAGTGTTGGGGACAGGAAAGTGTGATCTGGAGGAAAGAACATGAAGGAGAAGAAGCACTGACGGGACAGAATTGGAATCTCAAATGATAAAATTGGAGTCTTTCCATTAGTTGAGGAAGCAAACAAGGGCAGAACTAACTTTCCTTGGCTTTATTAACTTTAAAAATTCCAGAACTGAACCACGATGGGTATGCTTTCGCCTTGTTGTGTCTGATAATCTTTCCTCATGTAGTTGGTAGCACTGTAGTTGCTTAGTATTTGATGCTAATGTATTTACATCCTCCTACACCAGTCAGTCACAGGGACACAGAAAACAGAAGTTGCAGTGACCACCTCAATTAGGCTATACTTGCCCCTTGTCTTCAAATAATTTTTATAAAATATTTTAATAAAATTAATAAACATTAGTAAAACTGTGTCTATCGGAAAATTTTAAGTTGAAGTTTTAAAGGACTATTTGATGAAACTAGGGCTGGTAGTTTTATAAGATTGTAAGTTTGAGACTCTCCTGGGCTATGTAGCAAGACACTGTCTCAAAACAAAACAAACAAAAACCATTTTATTTAAAGAAAGGTACCTTTCCCTAGCTATTAAAAAAACAAAAAACAAAAAAAGAGTGTGAATCTTTATTTTGAGTGAAGAAAAACCTGGTTTGGGGAGCATAAATTAAGAATTTTTGGTACTAACTTATTCAGAATTAAACTGAATGGTAGTTGATTACTTTGATACACTGAAAGGCTCTGCCTCTGCAAACTGGCATGTTTGTAAGACTCATTCAGAGCAGTGTCAATGGGCAAAGTGATGTTATTTAGCATCTTGGTTAAAAACATACCACCAAATTAATGAAGCAATCAAGGTTACCAATGATTGCCTTTAAAATATACCCATGTTTCAGAAGTATCTCTATTTCCCACTATTTATTCATGAGCAAAACCAGAATGGTATGTTCATCTAAAATATTTGTATATTGCATCTTTTAAAAAATGAGTTAAATTACACCAGTTTATTTGTCTTGTCTTGTAAATGTATTAAAATTACTTGAAGACAAGGGGAAAGTATAGCCTAAATGAAGTGGTCACTGTGACTTTTCATCTTCTGTGTCCCAACACAGAGAATGTAAATATATTAGTATCAAATATAGAGCCACGTAGAGTGTTACCTGTTACACAAGGAAAGATTAGCAGACAAGGTAAGAACATGCCCATCATGACACTGCTTTGGCCCTTTGTCCTTACTGTGTGGGCCCAGTTTTAATTTTATAAATTATGATTTAATTAGAAATGTCAAAATATTATGCTATGCTATTATGAATTGTAATTGTTCTTGTGAACTGCTCCCGCTGAAAAAAGATGGTTGAATCCCTATGTAACTTTATCTTATTGAGATTGTAAGTATATAATAGATATTCTAAAATATTTTTGCTTTGTAAATCAGACTGTCATCTTCTACAAAACTGGCATGAAAACTGGAGAAATCATTCTTTATAAAGTTATTTAATTGTTACTTTATAATGAAAACTTTTCTCATTCTATCTTATGTCAAGTGGCCCTTACTTCCTGACTACCTCACAATTGTTGCTAGATTCGCTTTGAACATTTCAGTCACTACAGACTCACAAAATGAAACAAATAAGCTGGTATAATTTAACTCAATTTGTTTTACATGTAAAATACAAGTATTTTAGATGAATGTACCATTCTGTCTTTGCTCATGAAGTACTAAAGGCCATCTATGGGAATAGAGATACTTCTGAAATATTGGTATGTTTTAAAGGCAATTGTTGGTAACTTTGATTGCTTCATTAACTTGGTGTTTGTTTTTAACTAGACTCTTAGAAAGAACCATCAGGTCAGCAGTAGAAGAGCATCTTTTTGATGTCAATAGCTCTGGAGACCAAAGTTCAGAGGACTCAGAACCTGGACCATCAGCAGCATCTTCTACGCCTACCAGGCAGCGAGGACATCCATTTAAGAAGCAGGATGATGTTTGGCATAGTCGAGACAAGTAAGCTATTATAGGCACTTACTGCTCAAGATTTTCTGTTTTCAAGTCAGTCACTACATTATATGTTCCTCTCATTTCAGCATCTAGATTAAAACTCACAAGTTTCATTATGATCATTCTTAACTTAGTGGGCATTTAGACACTCCTATGTGGCTTATTATCTTAGTTAGGGTTTCCATTGTTGTGAAGAGACACCATGGCCAAGGCAATTCTTATGAAGGATAACATTTAATTGAGGCTAGCTTACAGGTTCAGAGGTTCAGTTCATTATGATCATGGTGGGAGCATGGAAGTATCCAGTTGGGAATGATGCTGGAGGAGCTGAGAGTTCTACATCATGTTCTGAAGGCAACCAGAAGACTGGTACTTGCAGGCAGCTAGGAAGAAATTCTTTTCCACATTGAGTGGAGCCTGACTATAGGATGTCCAAAGTCCACCCCCGCAATGACACACTTCCTCCAACAAGGTCACACCTCCTAACAGTACCACTCCCTATGGACCAAGCATATTCAAACCACCACACTTAGTATCTCTGTTTCATCTAGATCTGTGTATTTTGGGAGGACTCCAAGTCTTCATTTATATATTTCATAACTTCCTGATAAATCCTATCCAGAGGCATTTTCTTCTGTACATGTCAACATTAAGTTAGCTTAGTAGTTCAGAAGAACTGATTCCCCTTTATTAACCAGTGGAGCATGCTTGCATTAACCTGGCTATGTTTTAATATTTTTTTAAAAAGTTGAACTTTTTAATCAAAAGAAGAAAAGTTTAAGTTCCATATTATAATATTAGCTAGCTTTAAAAGTTTAAAAACTGCAGCATAAATTTCAAGAATTGTATTACAAATAGTTTATACTCCATTAATGACTTCAGTAAAATATGAATGCAAATCATCATTCATATCAATGATCATGATGCCTATTTTCAACAAAAATTAATATATGTTATTAATTGACTATATTCAGGTATCCCTATAGTGTTCCAAGTTTATTTCCATTCACTCTGTGGTTAATATTTTGACCTGCTTAAATGTCCAAAACCAAACTTGATCCTAGTTCTACATATTCTTTCCCCCTGGACTCTATAGCTCTATAATCTATAGCAAGAGCTCTATGAAAAAAATCCCTTTTTTGCTGAAGGAAAATCAGAAGATAAATTGTGTAAATAAGTCCCCTGCTATATTGCAATGTTCAAGAGCTGTGTTAACATACAAATTCACACAAACATCAGCAGCAATGATCTAACCCGCTGACTTAACAAGGAAGTGTTTGTTAGTGTAAGAATTGTGTTAGACCTGGCAGAAAAGACCAGTTGTAATATCTCCTTAGAAACTAGAAAAAAATGTAGCACCAGAAATGTTCACATTTGAAATCACCCACTGACAGGTTTATCCAAAGCATTTAGCACCATAATTCATTTGCATTCTGTCTGTTTTATTATGCCACAAGTATAATTTATTCATTAACATAATGATTGCCCTCTGATTTGGCAGTTTAAAAAATATCTTCACTGTGTCACTGCAGCCTGCTTTCTACTCTCTCTCTCTTTGTACAGCAGATAAGTTTGTGGGGTGGGAAGTGGTAACATAGCAAGAAGATGATAGTGGAAACAGAGGTGGGACAGACAGCAGGCAAGAATGGGGGCAGGCAGCAGGCAGAGGTGGAGGCTGGCACCAGGCAGAGGTGGAGGCTGGCAGCAGACAGAGGTGGAGGCTGGCAGCAGATAGGGGTGGTAGAGTCAACAATAGGTAGGGGCCTGACAGGGATAAGGAATGTGAGCCACAGACTAACCTTTCCTTCTTCTCAGAGAGAACTTGCAGAGCTTAGTTTTCCAAGTCCATGGATGTTTCTTACATGTGTTATACTGATTGTATTCAACTAGCAACATCAGGAGAACCAACAGAAATGGAGGCTGGTGGATCCTGGTTAGCTGTAGACCACCTGTGGGACTCTAACCGTAATTATTCATCTCTGTTATCTCCATCACTGCTCATTCTGCTCCCTATTCTGAATCTTGGGATACAAACCTCTATATTTTCCTAGGGTACCACATATGCCTAACATACAGAAGTTATCACAACACCTTCCTGGCCCCTTCCTTGTGCTTCTTGCTTGCATTATTCGTCTAGTTGAGAGACATCTACCTATCTACCAGACACTCTGGCCACAGTCTTGCTGGACAGGGCTTCTCAACACCCAGAACACACTGTCTTCTCTGTTTGTTTGTTTGTTTGTTTGAGCAACAAAGTTATTTATTTCTCATGGTCCCAGAGCTACAGTTTTGACCTGGCCCAACTTTGACCACAGCCTGTAACCTTTGCTGGCAAGTCTCTCCCCTGCCTGGGTCTCCTGATACTTTCACTCACCTGCACTGACCAGTTTCCCTAAACGTTCTTTGCCTGCTCCTAACCATTTTGCCTTGCATGTTTTCTAGCTGCTGATTCTTCCAACACCTCTACTACAATCTCAGAATTTTCTTTTGCCTTCCTCCTCCTTGTAATGACTTCAAAATGCTTGGTCCTCTCTGACATCCCCATAAGAGTCATTAGTATTTCATAAATTGTGACGACACCAAGGCTCATCATTATAACTTGTAGGATGTGCATTATTACTAGAGTTTAGTTATAACTGATTAAGTCAATTGAGCTAAGATTTTCATCAGATTTTATTTTTTTAAAAAAAAAAAGAACAATAAATCTAGACTTTGTACTCTTTCACCCCGAATGTTAGCCTCGTGGAATAGTGAGAAAGTGTTTTAAGGCTATCCACTTGCTTTATTATGTTGTTTTGCACATTGCTACTCACAGCTGTGACCATTAGGCACTGTCCCCAGCCAGTGATGGTCTGATTGTAGGTGTTTTACTGAGGCTGTTGTGAGTTTTTATATAAGTAACACTGAGCATAAATAAAGACTGTGAATTATTCATTTTCATGTATATGCTGTTTGTCAAATTTACAAGAAAAAAATCAAACTCAAATAATTTGTTGCTATAATAAAAGCATAAACGTTGAAGGAGTATATTTAGTATACAAAATGTATCAATCTGATTTTTGTGTTTAAAGGATCTGATGGCTATCAGGTTAACAGTAAATGTATGTTTATCTCTATTTTATTATTTTTTTAATAGCAAGGTATCATTTTTAAGTCAAAATAGTCTAAACCTTCCTAAGCACAATGACCTGGAAATGTAATCCAAATGATTGTTATATAAATATTATTTTAAAAGCCAGTTTTAAAGTAAAAAGCAACAAATGCTCAGTTGCAAGAATAGTAAATATGATTATTATTTGAATATAATGTATACATGAAGACGGAAGAAAGAAATATGGGGGAGAGGTGCAACCTAGGAAAAGATCTACGTAATCAAAAACAACAACAACAAAAAAAAGACCTGGAACTCTTAGTCCAGGTAAAATTTAAATCGTGTCAAATATGACTGGCAAGTGTTGTGTGTCTGGGAAAGGAGGGGCTTTCTGTGTTCCACACCCTCTGTGCTGGTGACTGAGATGCTGCTGCGTAGCTGATAACCAAAGGGAAGCTCCACCTCCCGGGAGCAGGTGCACACAAGCACAGCTCTACTGCCATCTTGCTGCCGATCGATTTCAGCAGCTTATTCTGCTATTTGTTCATTGTCCCAAATGACTAAAGAAATCAGCGTTTCTATTTGATTCTAAATAACATTGTTTAGCTTCTATATTAGTCTGCTTGGCTCCCACCACAAAATACATAGAAGACTGTCTTAAACAACAGTGTTTATTTGTTCACAGTCCTAGGGCTGGCAGGTCTAAGATAAAGGTGCAGACAGAGCAGGTTTCAGCCAAGAGCACTGTCCTGGGCCTGCACATGGCTATCTTCTCAATGTCCTAACAGGATTTTCCTTCTGTGCAAGCTTTCGTAATGGCCATTACATGGACAGAGCTCACACTGGATGTCCTGCTGTGATGACCTCCATTTCACTGAATCACTTCTGAGAAGCCTTTCTCTCACTATAAGCATATTAGGTATCAGAACACTGACACAGGAATAGTGAGGGGACACAGATGAGTCTTATCAAGCATGATAAGGCCTCCACTAAAAATTATAATTGACACATAGTAGCTTTGGAAAATGTGCAGAATAAGAAGCAGAATTTGAGGGATAAATCGAATTTTGAGTTTATAACCAAACTCCTGCAGCCATTCAAAGAAGACATTGCATAAGTGTGATGCCTGTATGCTAGACCTTGTCACTTCCTCTCTTCACTTACCTTGTCTTTAAGGTGTTTCTGGTAAGTATATATAAATCTTCATACAATTTAAACACACACACACATTCTCCATTCTAGAAATGACCAAATGATACAGTTCTAAAAATATCTAAAAATAGTAAAACTTTGAAATAGGATGTTTTTTAAGTCATAATTTTCTTTCTATTATGGTATAAAAATATAAATTTATTGCAGAATAAATATTTAATGCTGTCTTTCACTGGGGGACGTGGTTGAGTTGACAGTAAAATATGATGTCTATTCTTAATTGTTAAACTCATTTATTTTCAGATGCAGATTTAGGGTTAGGGAATTACACTAACTCAGGTATGATGTGAGACTCTGAATCATTTCTTACTTACCAAGCCATAGTGCTGTGATGGCAGTTTAATTTGATCCATCATATAGATTAAACGTTGCTAAGTTAATTCTTTGAAAACTTTGTAGTTTAAAATAGTAATGTTTTGAAAGTACAAATTAGTTAAAGCCTGTCATTATGACATCCCTACGTGTAAGACATGATATAGTGACTATATTCAAAAGTTTCCCCTTTACATTTTAAAATAAGATTAAGCTATTTACTTTTTCCTTCCAGGGAGCTTATCAATAAGGAAAATATTCCCTATGGCTTCAGCAGCTGTGATGAGTGTATTTTGAACAGCCAGGAAGCAGAAAGATTCCAGGATGATATTTGTGAATACATTGGGGAAAGAAGCAAACCCAAGCGTCAGAAATCCAGTTCCAGGCTTGCAGAGCTCAATGAAAACCACGATGGGCTCCTGGTAAGTGAGAGCTTTAGTAACTTCTTTACTTTAGCCTTTAAAGAAATATCTCTTTTCTTTAATATAGAAAAATAGAGTGTCACAAAATTATAGGAGTTCTGAAAAAGACTACTGACCCAGAAAGTGCTTGAATTTGTATTTCTTTTTCATAAATGTAGTGATGAAGGCAGAGAACTGTGACAGACATTCTGCCGAAAGAGCAAGAGACAACACTTTGATGTTGCTTAAACTGGTTTTCTTAATCTAATTTTTAAACATTTTTTAAATAAAAATTTTTATAACACACAGCCCCTTTCTTTTACCCATCTTAATTTTTCCTGCCCATATGAAGCTTAAACTGGATGAACACAAAGCAGATGGGGGAAGGTAGCTGGAGAGGCCTCTGTGCTGTGCCAGGGAACTTTTTCATGTTTGGTGGCATCAAGCCTAAGCTCAAATTAATCAAAGCAAAAAGATATTAATGGTCAACACAGTTTCCCAATACCAGAACTTTGAGACCTTAACCTGATATCTAAGGTTTTGCATTTCTTTCAGCCAGTGACAATATCTGTATAACTATTTAATGTTCATCTTCCTATTTTACTTATACTTCTAATTCTTATTTTTAGTAAATCAAAATTGAAAATAATAACGCTGAGGAGAAATGGATAACAGAACTGGAGTCTGCAGTAGAAAGGGAAACGGAGCACGGGTCTGGAGTACAGATTCTCTAGTCTCCTTTGTCGCTTAGCTGTTTTACAGCTTCATGCTGCGGTGTCCATATAGTTATTCAAACTATAGATCAGCTCTTGTCCTGTTGTTAATTTCTATATGTGCGTAGAAAAAAAAGACCTACATTTTCCCCTAAATAAAAGATGTGCACTACAATCTAGAAAGTTAGGTCTGATAGTGTTCTCAAACAAAGAATCAGGTCATAGTGACTGTATTTTTAAATCAGTGTTTTCTTTCTTTGTAAATTTGTGTGTGTGTGTGTGTGTGTGTGTGTGTGTGAGAGAGAGAGAGAGAGAGAGAGAGAGAGAGAGAGAGAGAGGGAGAGAGAGAGATATGGGGGAAGAGAGGGAGAGAGAGCCAGAAGGACACAGAGAAACAGAGACAGACAAAACATTTAAGCCAGTCACGTGCATCACTACTGACATATACATCTCTAGCCTCTGAAGAGTAATAATTACATAAAGTAACCCTATTCACTTGTTATTTGACCTATGATTGCTTATGTGCCAGAGAGATTTTTGGTGATTAAAAGTCTGAAGTTTGGCTTTATAGAATACACTTCTTAGTTAAAATCCTTTTTTAAAACCATGAGTTAACCCCTCGACTTTCCTACATGGAATAGTGCTGTGAAGTTTCTAGATGGTAACTATGAAGAGAAGTGGAAAGGAACATTCATTTCTTAAAATACATGTCTGGACTTCCTTTGAAAATATTCAATGGGAGACTCCTTGTTCTAATTCATTTTTGCTATGTGAAAGAATGTGCCACTCCCCAGCCACCAGCTTCTGCATCCAAGGACTGCATTAATACAAATAAGCTCAGTGGGCTTTGTTGTAATAAATAATTTAATTTATTCTGCCAGCAAACTTGGCAGGTAAACTTGTTCCTCTACAAAGTGATAGTATTCTCAAAGACCTTTGACCTTTTTGTGTGTGTTCTGTGAATCTTAAAGTTATATTTTTATTATTTTTAATTATGAGTAGGTATGTATTTCTGAGTGTAGGTATGTACACATGAGTTCAGGTACCTGTGGAAGCCTGATGCACTGGGTCCCCCTGGAGATGGAGCTTCTGATGGTTGTGAGCTGCCTGGTATGGCTGCTAGAAATTGAACCTAGGTCCTCTGGAAGAGCAGCAAATGCTCTTAACTACTGAGAAATCTGTTCCTGAGAGTCAAAATCCTGATATTAGGAATTTTGGAGGCCAGGGTATACCATTACAGTCCTAGCTGATCCAGGATCTCCCATCAGACTATTTTGAGATAAAGTTTAGACATGTAACTCAAGAAATGAACATTTCTTTCCACTGCTATTCACACACTTGAGATACTGTTCCCAATCGTTTCCCAGTCTTTTGGCTAAGATCAAGTGAAGATACTGTTACCAGTGAGAAAGCTGATGTTAAACCCATGGTTCTTCTTAAAGGTATTCAAACTTAAAGCATATTCTTTCTAAGCTAGAAAGCTAAGCTTCAGGCTTTGAAACATCATAAATCACTTTGGCAGTGATGAGGAAGAACTCCCTGCGAATGTAACTTTGCTTATAAAGTCAAGAGGCAATAAAACAGGACATCTAAGTGAAACTGCAGGTACCAAGACCTCCAGCCAACCATTTATCTGGGAAGGTCTGAGGAACTGTGGAGAGCTCATTATAGTAAAAGGATCTCAAACTGAGAGGCCATAGGATGGGGTGCAGATTAACTGGATTTTCAAGCATCATCAGGATGATTGACTTTACATTGAGTAAGATGAGAAACCACAGGAATGTTCTTTGCAAGGATGTGAACTACTTAAATTTGGTGTTACTGCAAAATTGAACATGGCATATGTGATCAATGACAGAAGTCAGATCGGCAGTGAGCAGTTCTGACCATAATCTTGGTCCTTGATGAGAGCTTAAACTAAGATGATACCAAAGGCCACATACACAGCCTTGCTGGAGATTGCCACTGCCGATTTATGAGTGGAAGACATAACTTTGGGAAATGATATCCTAGCTTCCCTTAGGGACTGATAAGATTGGGTGCCCTATTAAATATGGCAGAAGAGCTATCAAAGAGATAATTGCATATCTAGGCCTGTTGTTCAGGCAAAAGTATATTGGCTAGAGACGTGTGTGACCGTCATCAGAATCAGAGATACTTAAAGAGGCATACAAACATTTAGACAATGGGAAAATATGCCCACAAAATAGGCTTAATAACCAGCAGCCAGAATGTAGAGGAAAATTGAGCAAGTTTGGTGTTTTACAAACCAGGTAACTGAGTGTCTTAAGGAGACAAGAGTCAGAGGTGAGGCCAAGAGAGGACAGGGTCTAACCATCTGAATTCACAAAGTGAAGCTCACTGTTGATGTTAAGAAGAACACTGGTAGAAATGGAATCCTTTCTCAAGAGAGAATGGGAGATTAACTATAGATGGTAAGCATCAGATCGGCCAAAGAGGAGGACCATGTACAGAACTCATCGGACCCTCACAGGCTTCTTGTCCATGCAGTAGGAGTGCCTGGGGCTTTTTCTTTTGCCTCTTTAGGATGTGATGACACAGAGCTCATGGGGTCTAGGGTACAGAGGCAGTGAGCTGCCAATCAGCATTAGGTTGCTGGGCTCCAGCTCAGTATCACCCCAGGGATCCTCTCTCTGCCTCCTTGGGTGTAGCTCTATCTGTTCCCTTAGTTTCTGGAGAAAAGATAATCGAACTTTGATTTAACTAGTTCCCTTACTCTAATCTAAAATAAATTTTAAATCTCTAACCATCCCATTTTTTTACCTGACTCAATGACAAGTGTTTTTTTTTTGTTTGTTTTCTAACTCTAAGGTTATCCTGTAAGGCAAACACACACACACACACACACACACACACACACACACAAAACTCCTTTGGAAAATCAGTTTACTAAACCTCTTTCCCCCACTGCATATGGATAGCATGAATACAAGCAGACGGTCTCCTATACACATGGTTTTCATAAACTCATCTCTATAGACCTAGAAAATAGTCTCTTTATTCTCCCAAAATTAGAATGCAGCCTAACAGTGTGAGAACAGAGTCACTCTGAGGCTGCCTAACAGTGTGAGAACAGAGTCACTCTGAGGCTGCCTAACAGTGTGAGAACAGAGTCACTCTGAGGCCGACTCTTGCATCTTCCTTCTAACCTCAGGACTAAAACATGAACAACAAACAAGCAAACAAGTAACAACACAAAACCTTATGTACTAATTCTCTCATCATAAACCTATCACAGAGAATTAGAAGCAAGTTTACTATTTAAAAATATAAGCTCAAAAAGTAGCTAATACCTGGATATGGATTCAGTAAGATACAATGTAAGTATTAGAAATTATGGTTAAGAAAACTAATACAAAGGGAAGGGAAGCCTTGATAATTGTATTTGAAGTAGTTTATAATTTTAATCTTTCCAGTAGGTAGGAGAGTGTTATTAACTATCTTCATTTTAAGTACAAAGGCATGAAACATAGGTGACTGAATACCTAGAACACAAGTGAGAGAGCTGGATTCCAGTATGGGGTTCCTCATTAAACGTAAGCAATGGTGTGTGTGTGTGTATGTGTGTGTGTGTGTGTGTGTGTGTGTGTGTGTGTGTGTGTATAACCCATTCCCAGAAAAAAAACTGTGAAAGAAAAAAATTTTATACCCAAAATGTTTACCCAAAAGTGATTGTATAATATAATGGTGTTACTATAAATGTTACTCTTTTATTTTCTCAATACATCCTATTAGAATATATAGTTCTATAGTAAACACTATGTTAAAACTACAAAACAAAAGACAAGATCTACTAGATTCACATCTCTTTGAACAGCTTCCACCTAATGTCTGAAATCTCAGCTGAGGTTCCCAAGAGGAGAATGGGTCTTGAAGTTACTTATATGTTGAGTCAGTTTTAGCTTCGTCATTATAGAGCAAGGCATGTGAGAAAGGTACTAAAGCTCAGTACGCACTTGACTCTCATGTGTAAGGTGGAAAGTTCAAATCCCAGCACTGCTAAAACAAATAGCCACAAGGTAGGTACGTCATGAAGCTTTAGTTTCTACTTATGTAAAAGAAAGATATTGATATGTCTTTTGGCTTTTTGAGGGCTAAATGCAGATAAATGTGCTAAAACTACAGATAAAAGTGAGCACAGTAAAGGGTTCCGCTTCAAAGTGTCCCCAGTGTTCTGATGCCTAGTCTCTCACTTTGGGTTTAATTCAAACACTTCAGCCATCGACGCTTGTTAGCCATGGTCCTTTACCTATCCAGCCCTGTACTCAAACCTTACACACACTTTTCTTCAGGAACTCAGTTTTCTATATTATGAACTGGCCCTTTAAGATCCCCTCTGTTGTGACCTACTCTCTCCTGTGTTTGATGCATGTCTCTTTGTCTCTTGTCCTTGGCACTGATCTCTCTCTGCCCTCTTCTCAGTGGCTGTGTACTGCTCTGCTGCAGCCTCATTGGCTTACCTTCCTAAGTCGTACTTGGATGTAAGTGTTACCCAAATTTTTGACGCCTCTCTATCAGATCTTTACTTACCTTTACTTACCAAGTCTAAGGTTTAAGCTGTTTCTACAGATGATTTCCACATCAGCATTTGACAAATGCTGTTTCCATGTGCTTCACATAGGACCAGAGTCAACATATTAGAGCCCATTCTTCTTGTGCTCTGTGTTCTTTTTTGACCTTGGGGTGACCTGATCCAACCCCATTGCATACTCCTTAGTTCTTTTAAGCACCTTCCTTTCCTTACCTTCAGGCCTTCTTCCAACTTTCTAATTGTCAAATGTAGTTTATTATATTTAAAATACCTTGATTCCTGGACCAGCAATATGGCTTTGAGGGAAAGGTGTTTCCTGCCAAATCTGACTATCTTAGTTCGGGGACCTACACAGTGGAAGAAAAGAGCTGACTCCAACAAGTTACCCTTTGACCTTCACACACATATACACCTTGGCAAGCTTATGCCTCATCCCATACATACCCATGCGCATAAAAATAAAAGGTCATTTAAAAATAAACTGTTTTGAACCCTTTCCCCTTTATCTTGCCTTTTTTATCGCTGATAACCTTTTAAAATTAGTTTGGAGTCACAACAGTGAGCTAGCACATCTGCACACTTCCAGCCTGCCCCTCCCCAGACTATTCCATCTGCTGCTGCAGATCGAATCACCCATCAATACAATGCTTTCAAACTTGATCTCAAATACAGCATAATACAGCAAGCTATCCTGCCCAAACTGCATGGCAGTTGTTTTCTATTAAGTGCCACATGTGACTACGGCTGCCACCGTGAAACATTGGCATAGTCACACAGGTCACCAGCATGCACTTCTGTGGGTAGTGAGGGCATAAATGGTGATCAAGACAGGAACACATTTTCTGCCTACCTGAAGTCTGCATGTTAAGAGGATGAGACAAAGGTCAAGTACAGTCAGATGCAAAACTTACCAACTATTCCTCTGACTTGACTACACTCACAAGTAAGCAAAGAAAAGCACATTCAATCTTTGTTTAAGAATGACTTATTCTATGCTCAATTCCCAGAATTATTTTTAGAAGGCTTCAACCATAGCTAAGCATGGTGGCACATAATTCCAGTAATGCCTATAATCCCAGGACCAGGGAGGCTGATATAGGAAAATCTTGACACTGTCTAGGAGAGAGGATACAGATAAAGCATTGACCACACTCACACAGGCAGGAAAAGTCCTTACAAACATGCCTCCTGAGAAGCGTTAAGCTCACTTTGTCAACTTACACACACACACACACACACACACACACACACACACACACACACACA